GAGTTTCAGATGCCTAAGTGGGAGATGAATGAAGAGGTGGTCATCAGTGGTATTGCCGGACGATATCCCGAATCCGACAGTTTTGACGAATTGAGGGATAATTTGTTAAAAAACGTAGACATGATTACCGAAGACGAACGGCGCTGGCCTTTGGGTCTCTACGGACTGCCGACCAGAAGCGGCAAAATAAAGGATTTGAGCAAATTTGACGCCCAGTTCTTCGGCGTTCACGGAAAACAGGCTAATCTTATGGACCCTCAGGCGAGGCTTTTGCTCGAACTTACTTACGAGGCTATGGTTGACGCCGGTATGCATTCACTCATCCATTAGTTATTTGTACAAAAAATGTATAAAATTAATTATTTTGTTACAACATTACAGGAGTAAACCCACAGACAATGCGAGGCACGCGTACCGGTGTATACGTCGGCGCCTCCGTATCCGAAGTGGAGGAGGGCTTAGCGATGGACATATCGAAAGTGTCGGGCTATGCGCTGACCGGTTGCAGTCGGTCTATGTTTGCCAACAGAGTTTCGTATACATTCGACCTCCAGGGGCCGAGTTATTCCATGGACACGGCCTGCTCTTCCAGCGCTCTCGCCATCAATCAAGCGTTGCTCGGACTGAGGACTGGTCAGTGCGACGCCGCCATTGTCGGCGGTGTCAGCATATGTCTGAGACCGGTGTCTGCCCTACAGTTTCACAAACTAAATATGTTGGCCGTCGACGGCAAGTGTAAATTCCTGGACGAGAGCGCCAACGGTTACGTTCGCGCGGAGACCTGTTCTGTCATATTCTTGCAGAAGAAGAGCGAAGCCAAGCGTATATACGCCACGATTCTTCACGCAAAGACCAATACCGATGGCTATAAAGACGAAGGCATTACATTCCCCTCCTCTCACTCCCAGAGTTCTCTTATGTATCAAACGCTCAAAGAGGCAAAAGTAGATCCAAATGAGATCAAGTATATCGAGGCTCACGGAACGGGAACCGGTGTCGGCGATCCATCCGAAACCGGAGCCATTGCCGAAGTCTTCTGCAAAGGAAACCGAAAGGAACCGCTACTTATCGGAGGCGTTAAGTCGTGTTTAGGACATTCCGAGCCCGCGTCCGGACTCAACTCAGTGGCCAAAGTGTTGGTGGCGTTTGAAAACAAAGTGATTCCCGCGAATCTTCACTTCAATAAACCCAATCCAAACATTCCGGCCCTCATTAACGGCCAAATTAAACCTATTGTGGAGAACACGCCATTCGTGGACAGTATAGTTCCGGTCAATTCTTTTGGTTTTGGCGGAGTTAACGTTCATATACTGCTTAAACCGCACTTACAAGAGCCCACAAAAGACAATCAAAACATAATCGAAACCATTCCTCGAGTTATTCCCATTTGCGGCCGAACTGAGGAAAGTGTGAACAATATATTTGACTTCTTGGAACAGAATCCCAAGAAACTGACCCGCGATCTGTTGGCACTGCTGTACGACATGTCACAGACCACTGACTCTTCGGGAATGAATTATCGCGGATTTCTTTTGGCCAAAAAGAGCGACGAAGAGAACGCCCTGTCCTTCACTCGGGAAGTGACTCGCGTTCAGGAGAAGAGACCGCTTTGGTTCGTCTTCTCAGGTTTGAACACACTTTTCATCACTCGTTTTGTTTGCATTTTATTAATTGAATGTTTTATTTAAACAAAGGTATGGGAAGTCAATGGACAGCAATGGCTAAGGGAATGATGTCTTTGGACGTGTTTAACAAATCCATTCAAAAATCGGCGCAAACATTGAAACCACTCGGAGTTGATTTACTTCATCTGCTGCTCAGCGACGACGAGTCGGCACTCGAGACAACTGTCGCCCCGTTTGTGGCCATCGCTGCCGTACAGATAGCGCTCGTGGACTTCCTGAAGGAGATGGAGATCGTTCCCGACGGCATTGTTGGCCATTCAGTCGGTGAGTTGGGCTGTGCCTACGGAGACGGTGTGTTCA